GGAGAGAGAGAGCATCCAGCAATGTGCTACCCATCCCCAGAGAGCGGGGAGAAGAAATTCTCCTCTCCTGGAGCAGGTGAGGCAAAAATGGTAACTACATGGTTGGTGTGGACACCGTTTAGCTCCATGTGGGTTCAGCCAGTGGGCTGCAAGGTGGCCAAATGATGCTCAGGGGAAAGGGGAAAGGGCCTCTACACTACGTGTTAGTTCTTTAGTTCTTGCACCTGCCAAAGGTGAGAACAAAGCGCTGCCCCTGGCTTGGCACGTGTGTCAGCAGGAAGGCTGCAGGCACGGAGCTGGGTCTGTCCTGGTGCCACCCATGCATTACAGCCAGCCGACATGAGATTTTTAGGGTATTTTACCAAAACTTTCAGGACTACAGTGGAAAGCAATGGAGGTCCAGTTGCAATAAAGCTTAAGAGGGTGAATGTGAGAAATAAAGGGTGATGGGCAGTTAAGCAGCCCTGTTCTTGGTGAGCCTGTTTACCAGGCTGGGCTGTGCTCACACTGGTTCTGCCAGGAGCAGGGCTACGTGGGGCAGGGCTTGCATTGTGTCTTCAGGTCTATCACCTGCACAGCTGGCTCCTGGGCAGTTATGGTTTGCAATTAGATAGCATGTGAAAAAGAAAAAATAATTTAACTTGAGTAGAGCGCTGTGCTTTAGAGCTATGAGTATGGTTCTTTCACTTTCAGTGGAGAAAGAAGTTCATTTGAGTTTATTCTTTGAAGGGAGCTCCCTGCCTTCAGCTTATGCTCTTTTCCAATGTAATATTTCCCTGGCTTGATGAACTATTTTTAATAACTCTTCTGACATTTTATTTGTTCACCTATAATAATTTTAAATTGCCTGGGAATCACTAGAGGATTTCTGAGACACACTTTGAAAATAATAATAACTAAAGAAGTGCTTTGGAAATATTATGATTTCTCTCTGGTTTTGTGCCTTCCAATGAAGCCTCCAGCCAGCCCTGTTTCCATTCACAGTGGAGTTGTATGGTGCATCTGAAGCTTGGCAAAGCCCAGCATCCCCCCCTTTCCTCCTCTCTTTCCTTTCTTGAAAGGAGATGGCCCCGGGTTTAAAAGTTGATTTTTAGCTTTGATTGTGTGTCTGTGCTATATGAATGCTAAGCAGCCTTTACAATGCATCCTTGTGATGTGCCGGGAAGGCAGGCGCAGCCTGTGAGGTCTGCCTGGCCTCCCAGCATCCCCACGGCTGCGCTGCGCTTTGATACGGACATGTTTATTTACGAGCCAGCTCTAGGGTGAATCCAGCCGTGTTACGGCCAGTAGCTGAGGGACCAAATGGGCTGAGCCACTGACACTTGTAAATCTGACACATTTGGAGCTGCTTTCTGCTGTGGAGGAGAGGAATTTTCCCCAATGGTGCTGTGGGCTGGAAAAGGAGGAGGCTTCTGAGAGGCAGCAGAGACCTGCACAGGTGTGTCCTGCCTGGACGGGTGTAGTTTTGGCTCCTGGGTGAAATCCTCCTTCTTGCTTCCAGCCCATCCTTTCTCAGGAGCATGAGTAACAGTGCCCCAAAGCCAAGGGAGAAGTTTCTCTTCCCTGCTGCATTGACAGAGTTCAAGCAGCTGAGGCTGGGGTGCTGCTGTTCCATCACTGGTGGCTGACTGATGGAACGAGAGCCGGAAAAGTGGATGTCAAGTTAGCACCAGGATGAATTCAGCCTCTTCTTCTCCATTTGTGTTTAGTGTCCCAAGTTCACCCCATGCAGCATTAACATATCAAATCCTCCAGCTGTTTCAGAATATCTCTCTGACAGGGTGGACATCGTTTCCCTCCAGCTTAGAAGAGTGTTGGGGGTTTATAGCTTTGCAAAAAAATATGATCTGGCTTTGTTCCCTTTTTAAAATCAACCCTTCCCTTCTAGATGAGATGGCACATCCCTCTGAGACCCATGCAGCTGGGGATGAGGCTTTTCGTAACAGAAATCTGCAAGCTGCCGCAAGGCTAGAAAGAGAGCACCTGTGCTGCCTGGGGTATTTTCAGACTCACTACCATCTTTCCATGCTCCAGCTGATAACCAGAGATAAGGGAGGAGGCCACAGGCAGGAGCTGTGGACACCTGTGGTTTTTGCACCGCTTTTGGGAGTGATAAGTTGGGCTTTTGCAAAGGGAATCAATCAATGAAACCTGCCAGGGTGGGCAGGGGCCGAGTCTTGCTGGAAAAGCCATGCTGCCATCCAGCCCACATGCTGGCTGTGAGAGTGATTCCCTGGCATGCCACCAGCCTGCCTCTCTTCCCACTGGAATGAGGTTGAAGGGACACCCTGCTTCTCACCTCTCTGGGCAGTGAGGCAGGTGTGTGCCAGCTGAGGCAGGTGTCTGCCAACAAGAGGCCACCCAGAAGAAGTTTAATCCCATAGAAGGTGAAGTGTTGCACAGTTCACCTTGCCTTGTTGATAGGCACAGGTAGGATGAGCACACAGAGTCCCCTGTTCTCCCTTCAGCAGTGCCCTTCCATGTGCCAAATGTGCCTTCCTTAATCACAGCCCAACATCTTAATATCCCAGCTCTACTCATGTCCCTGCTTTCTTTTGGATGAGGGAGTGACTTTCTTTCTGGCTTTTGTGAATGTGCGGTAGCAACTCCTTTTGCTCTTGTTATTTTTGTGATGTTCGAAATCCACATATGCTGTGCCCCAAACAGGAAACTTTCAAAGCATACCTGTATGGGATAGAGGGTAAGAGAGAGAAAAAAGGAACAGCAGAAAAGCCCCCCACGCCTGAGCCCAGCAGACAGGGTGGGCACAAAGGCAGGCACCAAGCACTGCAGGTGGGAGAAGCATCAGAAGACATGGTCAAGCTACTCAGGAATAGTAATTTTCAACCAAAACAGAGGAAGGAGCTGTTTAAACACAGGCGTTTGAAGTTACAGACCTGCTTTCAGAGCTCCGTGAGTCAGTGAAAGTACTCGTTTTTATGGCTGGAGACAAAAGGAGGCAGAACATCTTTTGTGGGAAAACTAGCAGCCCTTGCAAGGCATGTAGAGGACGATTTTGGGACCTCTCAGGTGGACGTGAGGTGCGAGGCTTCTGCAGGAACGGGGGAGACTTTTATGGAACCGAGGAGGGAAATTCCCGTCAGAAAGCTCACGTCGATTATCTCGCCCTTCGGGAAAGGGTTCTGCTGGCCTGTGGGGACCTCTAGTGTGAGACTTGGCTTCGCACAGGTCTCTACGGTGGCAGTTGTTTAGGATTGGGGAAGGAAGTGGGATCCAGGGGGAAACGGAGACGGGCTCCATGGTGTTTTCCCTGTCAGCCGCTGTGAAACAGACGCGGGGTGTGCTCAGGGCAGGAGACACGGTGACTCGCTCGTGGCTGGGCTGACATGGCTTGGTGTTACACACAGAGCTGTGCTCATACTTTCTTGCAGCCCTTCCACATTTAACCTGTAATTCCACCGGTGGGCTAGCTCTGTTATTTTTGTGCCAGGGATCCTTCCCCTTGAAAATGCAGGTGACAACACCCCCGTCTGTCCTCTAGTACCAGAAGAAGCGATGGGTGTCCACAGTTCTGAATTCTGATGCAATCCTAATGCTGACAGTGTCTTATAAGACATTTTCCCCACATAGTCTGTTCCCAGGGGTCCAGCTCCTAAACATGGGTGGCTTGGCATCAGCTGCCTCACCAGCCTGTTCTCTTCCCAATGCCCTCCTGCCCTGCTGTCTATCGTTGGTTTTCCTCAGGTGGTCTCCAGCTGGTGGCCAGAGGAGGAAGGTCTCTGTCTGCACATGGGTACCTCAATGTCTCCTCCTGGGCAGCAGGGCAGGGACCCATGAGCCATAGGGATACCTGTTTTTGGCACTGGCTGTGGCAGCTCTCACTGGTGTCTGGGGAGGCTGCAACCAAGATGATCTGCAGGAAAACTTGCAAGAAAGCTAGTGATGTAGTCAGAAAATCATAACATGCTTTTCCCCATGCTCATGGCTTTGTGCAACTTGCTTTCTCTTCTCTTTGCTTTACAAAATGCATCTTCCTTCCTTTTTTCACTCCTCTCCTCCTGCTTCTTTGTCATCTTCCTGTTACTGCAGTTACTGTTGTGGGATGGTTTTACTTTTTTACTCCCTTTGTTTGCCACCTGTCAGGAATGCAATTATTCACTTGTTCTTCACCAGTCTGGTTCCAAAAGGAAGGATAATTAAGGCAGTCAGTCATTCAGGCTCACTTTGGCCAGATCCTTCTTGAGATTTCTTTGCAATTTACTTTTAAGAAATATGCATCAGGAGACAGCTGGTTTTGAAGAAATCACCTGAGTCTTCTGCAGCCACACGTCCATGGAGTCTTCAATGCTAGGAGAGGGGAAAGTAAAGGAAGAGTTAAAATGTCCACAGACAGTGAGGGCCTCCTGAGCTGGGGGTTATATGTCCATATAACCATTTTCCTGAATAAAATACTACCAAATGTGTTTTTTTCCCTTATCTGCAAATGCAAGTTCTAATAGGCTCAGCCAAAGGTTATTGCCATGTGGTGCTTTTACATGGGGAGAGAAGACTCTTACATAGATCTGTTTGGGGGTTTAATCTCTTCTTTAAACAATAGTTTATTTTTTTAATAGTGTTTTCTTGTATGTGTTTACAAAATATTATTTATGTATATTATGAAAAAAAATGCTATGGACAATATTCATTAAGCAAAACTGCATCCTAGTGAAAGTCAAAATTGGAATATTTTGACACTGACTCTTGAATAATCAGTTTAATTATTTTTTAAAGGAGCTTTTCCCCAAACTCCATGAAAAGTTATTTCTCTGTATGCCTTTCCTTCTTCCCCAGCTGGCTGTGTGGGAGCTGACAGCAGCTAACTGAGGGCCTGTGCAGAAGGTGACTGCCCTAAAGAGGATTTAATAATCAGGCAGGAGGAGGTGCATCAGCACGTGGTGGGGACTCCACTTCCTGAGAGGCCCCACTGTGGCCATGCCTCCCTTTGGTGGAAACCCAGGCTTTATCAAGAGCTGGAGGGACCAACTGCCAGCTCTCTCTGGGGACAAGCTGCCATGGAACTGAGGTGTGGGATGAGGACCACCAAGTGCCAGCTGCTGGTGACCAGCCTCTGTGTCATGGTGAGCAGGCAGGTTTGGGGGGATCTCTGCAGAACCGAGGTGAGCTGTTGCCTTTCCCATCCCCACTCCGAGAGGGGATGGTTTTCCCACGTTCTGTTTATGGCTGGTGGAGGGTAAGCACAGCCAACTGCCTGAGTTATCATTGCACCATGGGCGGTTATCGCTGGCCACCAGCATCCCCCCTCCTCTGATAGACTTCTGGTTTCTCAAGGCTGTCACACCACTGCAGCTCTTTCACAACTCAGCAGCTTCCTCCAAGGAGAAAGAAAAGGTCACTGCTGGCAGGATGGGTGGGAGGTTGTCTCCTTGGAGCAAAAGAGAGAGTGTGACCTGCTGCAGTCACACTTGGTGCTGGGAGGGTGGTCGACTGCAGGTGGGATCAGTGAGGATGTGAAACCACAAGGCTTTGGTGGAAGTGTGGGTGAGAAACATGTGAATTGGCACTGCAAAGCGAAAGCAATTCCAGGGACTCTCTTTATCAGCTCTTGAAGCAAATTCAAGGGGAGTTTCTGGACATCTGCTGTTAGAGCTGATGGGAAATGGTAGAAACTGGAGAACACTTCTCATGGATGCTTTGACTCATATGTTCTTGACTTTTCACTTCATCAAAACTTGCCAGCATAAAAATAAAAATAATAATAGTAATAATAACAACAGTAATAGCAATAATCTGTATTTAGTTCAAAGAGGGTTGGTGGCCTGTTAAGGGTTATTAAAAGGTAATACCTTATTTTGGGCCACAAATTAGGTTTGTAGTTTTTCCAAATTTCAACATTCCAGGACTGCAGTGACTGTAAGGTGGTTCTCTCTTCTAAATAATGGAATATGCCACTTGGAGGAAATGAAAGGAGGATTGGTACTAAGCATGTTTAGAGGAGACATTAAAGCACAGCTGCTGTGCATGGTTAGAATCCCATTCTCGCTGTTGGGAGGATTTTAGACTGGTGTTTCTCAGAAATCTGAGCTAAGTGATGTTGCACTTAATATTTTGCTGGGCGTGGGTCAAGATATGCAGTAATGCGCAGTCTGAATGATCAGAAGGTGCCACAAATCAGCCTAGAAAAAATGGTACATTTTGGATGGATTTAGTCTCTGAGACTGTAAGCCTGCAGCAAAAGCTATTAGAAAATGTCACACAGTGGGGATTATGTTGAGATCGCATTGTCACATTTGACACAGGTATAGCTGCCTCATGTTTCTGTATTGTAAAGGCACAAAATGATGAAGCCTTATCTTCAGAGCTAGGAGTAGCCTCACATTTTGTATTTTCCAGGCTCATTGCAATAGATGTGGAGTTCATTTTGCTGCTGGTGCCTTTGTCCCAGCTCTGCCACCAGTCATGCTGAAAGGAGCCCTGCCCTAGAGCCAGGTGCTATCAGAAATATTCCCTCTCCATCATCTGGAGAGGTATGGACATGCAAGTAGTTACCCCATGCCTCAGGCATACCGGTGCTCTCAGTGGTGGCACAGAAACAGACAACACCTTGCAGAGACAGAAACCACCACAGACAGCTTAGAGTAGTACAGGACTCAGATCTTTGTGCTCTGCCATTGGAAACAGAGCCAGCAGCAGGCACTGAGACTATTGCAAAGTGCAGAGCAGAGAACTTCACCCTTGCTCAAAACCCTTATTGAAGCTGGCAGCCCTCACAGCCACACGTGCACAGAGTAGGGTGGCACTGCACAGGTGTGCTGCAAGAGCATCAATCCTCAGTTTTCTTCATGTGATGGGAATTTAATCCATAGGCACTGGCCAAGAGACCGTGGGCTGCACAGTGACACATGCACTCATTATGCAAGAGAGAAAAAACAGCTTTAGTATTTTGAAGTGTCTGGGGTTTGTCCTTTTATGTGCATTTTGGGGTACATCTGGATGATGAGGCTGTCTGCACTTACATGGGGCTCAGGAGAATCCAGATATACCTCAAACCTTTGTGTGCACCCAGCAAGAGCTGCTGCCTTGTAAATCCCATCATGAAACCCTTCTTTTCCAGCTGCTGGGGCTCTCCATCGCCACGCTGAGCACAGTCGCCCACTATGGGCTCCGTTTCACCCTCATCAGCAACGTCTCCCTGGACAGCAATGCCTACAAGGTCATCCACCACTCAGGTATGTTGTGGTCACATCCCAGTGAGACTTTGGTGATACCAGAGCTGCAAAATTCCTTAAAGCTGTAGAAGAAAATTCAGGGCTTTCTCAAGAGGAGGAAGGAGTTGGGTTTTGGAGGATGCATTAGGACTAATACAGTCTCACAGGCACTTTCTTTCCCCATATGAGACCTGCATGCCAGTAACCAAAGGATGCTGTGGGTGCATGGGGTGCTCAGGTTCTTCTGTGTTTGCACCTGTTCCTCTATTCTCTGACCCCTGTGCTGTGGTAAGAGCTCAGGAGGAGCTCTTCAGCCACTGAAAGTGCACTGGGGTGGGCAGGAGACTGAGGAGAGGAACTACAGGAGTTGAAGGAGAACATAGAAAATTGAGGCTGGGAGGAGAAATGCATGGCAGCACCTTCAGCTTTTCTGAGGAAATATGTGGTATTTTTGCTTTCACAAGGGAGAAGTATAAACTGAGTCTTAGGTACAAGACTAGAGCAAAGATAGCCCAGATACTAAAACGCCCTGCTCACCACTGCTGCACTTGCATCTGCTGCTTCTCCTGAGGGCTGCACTCTGGTCCTAAACACATTCATATTCTCTCAAGATCTTGGTTCTCAATTTCAATTTAACAAGGCAGGTGTAAAAACTGTATTAGCCCAAGGCTAAGGTATATTCTTTCATTGTTCCTACACATATATATTGGCACTGACTGCAGCCTTGCAGGCTCTCCCACGCCAGTCACCCATCTCCAGCAACACTTCCACTTGCCTTGTTTACAGGCACTGCCTCTGTGTGGTTAGGCTAGCAAAGCCCTTTGCAGTGCTGTGGTCCCTGAGCCCTGCTCCAGGTTACTGGCTGTGATCCTGCCTGAGCCAGGAGGAAACCAGAGGGTGAGTGTTGCACCAGATTAGCAGTGCCTGGAGTCCTGATAGAAGCTGTGGGACAGCTGCTGCACCAGCACCCCCCATTTGGGGGGGGATCCTTATCAGAATGCTGAAATAATTGGCAGCTTCTGGTTTGTTGGGTGGACCAACACCGTTTTAGGCTGCTTCACTCTGCTGGAGCTGTGAGAACTCCTCAGAGGCTTACAGCCTTGCCAGACATACACAGCAAAGCGCACGCAGATGGGGGAGCATTGAATAAATTACAGAAAAATTTCAGTTCTGCAACCTAGTCATTTGGGCCAGCTCCCCAGAATGCACTTTTTGGTCCCTCTCTGAGTGAAGCATCAGACTAAACCTCTGGCATCTGACCACAACTCCCACGTCTGTCTTCCAGCTTTCTACTTTGGGATCTGCCTGAGCATGACCCTGATTCTGGCAGCCCTGCTGAGCTCCGCTGCCACTGTGCGGGAATCGCGGTGCCTCACCGCCATGGTGCGTATCCATACCTGCAGGGACGGGCTGGGAGAGGCTTTCTGTCACCTGGGGCTGGCCCCCTACACGTCCAGTGCTGGGGTCTGCATTGCCTTATGCCCAGGAGAATTCATGCCTGGGGAAGGAGGTCCTGTTGTTCCACTTTGCGCTGCTAGGGGACATTTTTTAAAAAGCATCACCCTGCAAAGCTCTTAGGGCTGAGAATTGCATCATTCCATGCTAAGTTTCTTTTGCCAAGGTCCTGTCTATGCAACTATCAGAGGGAATGTGTTTATCTGCCAAGCAACTATGGTGATGACAATACCCAGGGTATTTTTTTTATCCTCATCAAGTCAACACATGGTTTGTATGAGGAAACCTTAGCAGTGTGATTTTGAGTCTCACTAACTTCCCCCAAATTGTGATAGCAAAATTAGCCCCTCTTTTTCCCACCTCACTGCACGGCAGCAGGCATAGGGGATTTGTGTAGGACCCTGAATTTCAGCCTACAAGGAGAGGGTGGAGAAGTAGCATAAGAGTGGAAATCCCCCCTTTCTCCTCTCCATCAGCCTGATTGGGCCTGGACCATGTTGACAGTAGTAAACTGCACTGTGAGATAAGCTCTATTTCAAAGCAGAGCCTGCATGTGGGCTTAGCCTGCACAGAGCAGCTTCCAGCCTTGGAGCTGGAGGAATGAGTGGTAAAGTGCTACTCAAGGTGTGTTTTCCCATATGAAGGGCAGGAGTTAACAGATAGGTTGTTGAGCATGAAATCTTGCTCAATATAAAATAATTGCATTGCTGTCATACACTAACTTTAAAGAGATTTATCTAATCTGTGTAATTGGGGGAAATGATACTGATGGCAGAAATGAGAAGCTGACACCTGAAAATTCACTGCAAAGCAGCCACTGAAATTAATGTTTTCACCTTCTCAATATACCATGTTCCTTTCTCTGAGATGCCCAAAGGGGCCTCAGTTCCCATTAATTAAGCAGAATGTGTAACTCCCCTCTCTTTTGCTGAAGTGTCTTCAATGTGTGCCTGTAATTACCACATCTAAACCAACAGATAGGTATGTACAGATCAGTGGAGAATGTCTTGGCTGCCTGAAGATATAGTCAAACTTCTCTATAATGTTTATTTGTTGCCTTACTCTCTGGTATAGTTTGAAGCATGCCACTGCATAGAACTGGCTGTTAAAAAGAGGCCAACATATACTGAGCGAACTCCAGAGCTCTGTCCAAAGAGCGTTGTCCAAGGGCCACACGGTGCTGCTCTCCCTTCCCATTTTAGTAAGGGAAGGAAGATCATTTTAGTAGGATCACACCCATGGGTGATCCTTTCCTTCAGCCACTCATCATCTCCCACAGCCGGGCTGGTTTGGGGTATCACAGCCAAGCTTCACCCACCAAAGCAACCTCTGGTTGGCAGAACCCTCAAACTGGCTGTTTATTTTTGTGCCTCCTAGTGCACTCTCTTAGCTTGTCTTTAGCTTCCATAGTCCGGGTCCTCTGGGGGATGTGGCCGTCTGCATTTTGGGCTGCTGATGGCACGTTTGTAGGGCGGTCACGGTGTCGCTGCCTTGCGGGGAGCAAGGAAAGGTGCGAGGTGCCTCCCCCGCAGCTGTGGCGGCGAGGCTTCATGCCACGCTGCTCTCAGCGGGGATAACGGGATGCCTCCTGGCTGTCTTTGAGCTCGGTGTCCGCCGGCTCCGCGCCGGGCCGTGGGGCGGGAGGCGAGCGGGCTCCGGCAGCCGCGCGGGGCCGCTCCAGCGCCGCGCTCCGCCCGCTCCCGCTGCCCGCCCGCTCCCGCTGCCGGTCCCGGTGCCGAACCGGAGCAGCCTCCGTGACTCTTGCGGGGTGGTGCTACGTCCCTGGCCTCAAGGAATAAACGGGAACCCTGGAAGGCGCTCAGAGATGGCCACTAGCAAGGGTATTCTCGGCTCCAAATTGTTCAAGGAGCTCATCGGCGTCTTAAATCACTCAGAGAGGACGGAAGAACTTCGCCTGTAATAAATTGTCCCCTCCCCTCCCAACCGTGTCATCCACCAAGGGCCAGCTCTCTACTTGTTTTGCCCCCCAGTTCCCACTCCAAAGGCACACATTTAATCTTTGATCTGCCAGCGGGAAGCGAGAGCAGGGAGAGCCAGCCCTGACGGCTGCAGTGAGGTGTAATCACAGGCAGGAGTGGGTTTTGGCCCTGTGGGGCTCCAAAACTGGTCCGTGTGTTGTCCAGCCCTGCTGATCCCTGCTGTGCTGTAACTCACAGGAGCGATCAGCCCTGCTATTTGGAGCTTTTTTCCTCCTTCTGCAAGAGAGGGAGAATCTTTCATCTTCCCCTGCTATTGATTTTAAAGGACTTTTCCTCCCTGCATAGAGTGTGTCTTATTTAGAAGACCATTTAATTCACTCTTTAATCAAAGAGGGAAAACACCAGACTATTTGCCTGACATCTGTGGCTGTCCAGGAAACCGAGCCATGCGTGAGGGATGTGGCTGGTCCACCACAATGCCACTTGGTAAACCAGCCACTCTAGGGAAAAGCTGACAAGGATGGAGCTTTTTTTTTTTTTTTGTCTGTTTGGATTATATATCGTCATGCTGCCTCGCTATCTGGAGGTTTGTGTGCCTACAGAGGAGGAGGCCCTGTTCTTTGGAGGCCTCACTGGTGCTGTTCTAATAACAGTTATGGGTGCACAGTGGTTAGAAACCAGGACAGGTCAAACTGGTTTAAGCACACGGGTCTCAGGAGATTGTTTTCTAGCTGCATTAGCAGCATCATGAGAGCAGACATGCTACTGTGCATCCAATGCTGCTTGTGAGGAAGCTGGTTCCAAGAAAGTAATTGAGAACTTAAGGATAAAAAAATTATGTTCTAAAATCCAGCAATATTACATATAAAGCTCCTCTTAAACAGGGAGAATAGCAACAGACTTATTCACTGTCCTCCAGCCCAGGCAAACTCTGCTTTCTGGTGATCCATGGACCATCATGCAGTCAAACCTGAATGTAAATATCCTGCAGCTTTATAGCCCCTGGAGGCCATGTTGCTATTGAAGGGGAGGAAAAGGAAGGAAAACAGCAGCTTTCCTGTTTGCATAAAGGAAAGACTCTGGTATCAGTGAGGTTTAAAGCAGCATGTGTTGTTACTGGTCAGACAGAGAAAGGGAAAGAAAAAAAAAACAGGGAGCAACATGCCAGCTGAAATTCTCACATCTGAACGTTACAGTCTAAAATCTGACTAGTATAGAAGAAAATTTGTGATCAGGATGGAGCAGATGATCCAAAAAAAATGCAGTGGAAAAAGCCTCAGTGAATGCCCAATATAAGCCAGGCTTTCATCAAGATTGATGAGCTAGTAGGGGCAGCACACAGCACACGCTGTTTGCTTTATTATACCCAGGTGTAGGCCAGTGTGTAGAGGGTCCTTAATATCACTGCAGCACACTTCAGCATCTTCTTTCTAATTTAATCTGCTTCCTGTGCTCTCCCTCATGGTGCAACACTTCTGAGTGAGGCATCTGCGTGCCAGTGGCAGAGCTGGTACCAAGGACAGATTCCTCTTTCGGACTGATGTCACTGACTCGTGTTAGCTCTGTGGAAGGGCAAAAACATTGCATGCTTTTAGATGAACTAAAAGGCAGAGAGGGACACAACCTGATGGATGCCATCTGAAATTTGCCCCTGCTTTTCCTGCCCCTGGGCTCTGCAGTCTGGCAGGGAGCTGGCCTTTGCAATGACCACAGCAGCACCAAAAAACAGCTGGAGAAGAGCAGAGCAGGGCAGAGGTCTGCTCCTTCCCTGGAAGTGTAGGAGTTTGGCAAAACACAGCTGCAGAGCACAGTATGAGCTAAAGGATCTGTCCCTCATCCAAAGCAGGCCCCCTTCACCAAAAGGGAAGCGTCAGAAAGGTGAATTAAAAGAAACACCAGCCAACAGACAGGGTGCTGTTCCTGTGGATTCTGCCGAGTCTGTCAAAGAGAAATTGTTCCTTGCAGCAAGGATGGAAGCAAGGTCATTCATAAAAGAGTAATTGATGTCTGCCTGGTGACAGGCCTCCACAGGGCTGATGTGGCTGTCTCTTGCAAAGAGAGCAGGCAGCAGCCTGTGGCTGACTCTGAAGACCTCCAAGGATCTGGGAGATGGTGAACCAGCCTCAACTCTTCCACATTTTGTATGCAAACTGCACATTGCCTTTTTCTTTTTTGCTCCAAATGTCTTCTAATGTAATTAGAAAGTTGCTCTTCCAAAAGCCTTTTGGCTGGGAAGGGAAAAAGCAGGCTATAATTCATTTATAAGATGTTCTTGGAGCCATGTAATTGCTGTGCACCAGCTGGATGGAGGGGGAGCTTCCCAAGGGGCTGCATCTCGGTATTCCCAGAGAAACCAGACAGAAATAAAGGGAGAGCTGATGCTGAAGGACTGAGATGTGGGGTGGAGCTGAGGAAGGGAAGATGAAAAGGAGGATTTTTATCTGCTGGGAGTTCTGGCCCCAGAGAGATGCTGTAAGTGCTGGAGCTGGTGGGGAAGGAAGGGAGAGCACAGGGGAAGAAATCTGGGCTGTCACTGGCATCCTGCTGTTGACACTCTCTGCGTTCATGGTGGGTCACCTGAATTATAACTTTAATGGAATGATATGCAGAAGAGTGGTCACATTGCTGTCAGAGCTGGTTTTTCCATCTGACTAATTTTCTTATTTTTAAATTTTATTGCCTTTGAACTTGATTTTGGTGAAAATGCCATTTGTTTGGTGGAGAAGTTGTTCGAGGCAGTGCAAAATGCAGGGTCTGATCCTATTGAGGAGCATCCTGACATGCCTGTGTAGCCTCACCTCCTCCCTCCAGTTTGTGCCGTACCTGCAGGGTTGAACTCCCCACTCCAGCTGGGATTTGGTCTGAGATATCTTGCCCTGTGAGCTCTTCCACATCTTCATGACTTGTAACCACCTTGTCATGTCAGTATTTGATCAGACTTTTCCTCTCATCTTCTTTACGGTCTCCAGTAATCTCATTTTAGCTCCTAGCAAGGCAATGAGTGATCTCATCAGCTATATGGCAAGGCAGCTGCCAAAAACTAAATGAAAGGAGAGACTGGACATACATAATTTAAGATTTTTCGTAAGAGCTGTATCAGGGTATTCCCCAGTGTCTGATGCAGAGCCTGCAACAAGGCAGCCCCAAAAAAAGTGGTGAATACCAGTGGCAGTCGTGTTCCAAGAGCAAAGTCCCCAGGCAGAGCAGAGAAACAGAGCAGATGGACAACAGCCAGCAAAAGGATTTTACTGGCACATTCACTTTCATTTCCAGGATTTGAAGTAACACATTTTCCTTTCGTGCTGCTTATGCATGAGTTTGGAGCTTTTTTTTTTTTTTAAACTATATCTTTTAAGCAAGTTTTTTTTTTTTTTGTGAAGCAGAACTTGTAGAAATAATGTTCTTCTTCTCTTAAGCATGAATTTGGTAAAATTTCATGAAAGATTTAAACTTTTCCAAGTTATTTCAGCTATATCATACAATGAAAACAGTAATAGAAAAAGATTAGAAATCAAAATAAGATGCAGTCAGCTGGGTAAGTTTCCCACATAATGTTGTGTTGAAAGAGGCACAGTTTAATGGAAAAACTTGTAAGGGCATTAATTTTTAACCGATGCTTATTCATCACCTTTTGTCATTCCAAGACTAAGCTGTGGATTCATATTGGATGATCCCATTTAGTTTTCAAATGCTTTACAGCCACTTTTCCTTTCCTTTTTTTCTTTTAAATGTGAATGAGATCATTTGGTCCAGCTGTCACAGCAAGCAAGTGCTTTTTATATCATGGCGTGGGGTTTTTGGTCCAGGTTTGTTCAGATGAAAACACAAAGCATGTAACTTCCAGCTCTGCAAGCCTAAGGAAGAAGACAAAAGTCAAGCCATGTCCTGCGTCGTTGCTGTTATTGTTTAGACACTTCAGGGTCAGTTTCTGGCCTTGGTTATATTTCTGTCATTCTGTTGTCTAACTAGGATGGTGCTGATCTAAGGAAAACAGTTCGGCCATGCAGCTTCCACCTTACTCACAGAATGAGTCCAGCTCTTCTTCCAGAGCAGGTTGATTTCTATCTCTATCCCAGTTATTTCCTTCTTTATGGAATATTTGTGTGGGTTTTCCTCTCTTTGAAGCCAATAGCCAAGTTTTAAATGCAGGGGATTGAATCTCATTATTATGGAGCACAGTCCTGCAGCAGAAGGGAAGCATACTGTAAATGTAATGTTTTATATGTCCTTTTCTTTGTCCAAGAGGAATTTGGGCAGAATGGATTAACCGCTCTGCTGGAAGCTGCCTGGATTTTTGGTCAAACTCTTCAATTGGCCACAGTGTAATTAGAGGGCTCCTGATGGAGAACCACATTATTGTCCATCTAATTTCTTTTAAGTAACTGATGTTATGAGGGATATTAAAAGAAGGTGATGTTTAAACTTTAATGAAACTTGCTCAAACAAGCATATTAAATATGTCCTGACTGTGTTTGCAAATGGGTATTTTTCTCCCCAGGCTGAATGTTGGTATTTTTCCTCTTTATCCTCAGGGATTTTTCTGTTTTGCTCTGGCCTTTTGTGGATTGATCCCAGCTGCCTGCTGGAGATACACACACAGCACGGAGGTAAGTGTTGGCTGCTAGGAAATACCACCAGCATCTCATCAGAGATTTTTTTCATAGCAACTATTCCTCCCATAAAAGGGACATCTGGTGTTAATTAAGCCATCCATATTGAGGTCTATCAGATCCATGCTCTGTTGCATCCGTCCTTTGGAAGAACAGGGTCACCTTCATCAGATGCCTCTTCAATGGGATCATCTGAAGGGAGAAGCCCGTGGAAAATCTCATGCAGGGCAAATGCTTTGTGCTGAAAGCAAAACAAAATGCAAGCCTCCTTCGCTTTGGGATTTTTTTTTTCAGGGGATGTTTGCTTTGTTTTGTTTTCTTTTGTTTTAAATGAGATGCTTGACTTTTGAAAAGTCATTTCCAGCTGGTTCTAATTACTGCTAATGTCGATTGGGAGCCTCTATTTGAAGGCAGTGTCCAGGAGAAGTACCCAGGAGATGTGTTTATTAACATGCAGCAGTGGTACATGAAAAGCACAAGAGTGAAAAATGGTATCTTGGGTCACTATGATGCTGAACCAGAAAGAGAAGATTATAGGAGGCTGAATTTGGAAGAAAGTTGGGGTTTGAAGTTTTACCCCAGAGCTTGCTGGTGCTGGGGCAGATGGGTGATGTGGGAGATGCAAGATGCTGGGTAAGTTGGTCTTTATTCCCCCTTTTGCATCCCTGCACTCAAAAAAAATTAAGAGACTCGGGAGTGTAAAAAAATCATGACATCTTTCTTTTGAAAGCAGAACACTGGTATTTTTGGCAAGTACCTAAATAATTCAGAGAAGTGCTTGGGACTTTGATAGCTGTTTCATGCAGTGGCTCAGTCCTTGTCTCTATTTTGCTCCCCCCCAGCCCTTAGCACATGCCATAACCTGCAATGTTCTGGGCACCAATGAGGATGTAACGTGAAACATCATCCCAGTGAATTAGGGATTGATGCTGCCAGTTCATCTTTTTGGTTACACGTAATGAGGGTGATCAAAGACCAGTCTGAAGTGTCTGGCCTTGAGATTTCCTTCTGTGATGGAGGAGCACAACTCCATCAAAGTCCCGGAGACTCAGTCCACACTAGGACTGTGGCAATTGTTTTTTTAGGCACAAGGAGCCCTGCCCTGTAATGGTTTGGTGTTCTGTGCATAAATTAAATCCCAGTCTTTCTGAAAGTAGAAGTTCAAAGGTTAAGGAGAGGGATAAGGCCCTGCTTGTCTAGAAAGTTTTCCCAGAGCTGGCCAGTGCCCAAAGTAGTTGAAAATCCTTTGAAATGTGCAGGTGGCTACACTGGACCAGGCTAAAGTTGTTGGCCAAGGAGATTTTTGGCTGACTTGCAGTTAGCCAAGGTAGCAGCATAAAAACCCAGCAAGCACAAAGCAATGCTTTTCAGATGCCAGCAGCTTGTGGCCCAGGTGTCTGCAGGTGGCAACTGCTGGTGTCTTTGTCTTTCGTGTTCTCCCTGGGTTTTTCCTCTGTGAATTTGCCCAACTGCTTTGGAAATATTAGGGTGAGTCCTGATGGCACAACAGTATCTTTTATCTGTACGCTTAACTGGCTGAAGTGGAATCCATCAGAGCTGAGGCATCCATAAAAATATGTCTTTCCACAGCCTTTTAAATTTTTTTCCCTATTGTTTCAGGCAAAACTATCAACATTTATTACATTCCCGCTAACAGTTTAATATGGAAATAATTTAGTTTTCATTGCCAACACAGAAGGGAGCTTTCCTTCTTCTTCTGCAGGCATTAAATTGTAGATTGAAGCACAGGCTGTGTCAGTAAAGGAGAAATGGCACCAGAAACTATCTGGTTGGCATTGTGAAATTGTGTTTTCTAAATAAACTGTTTTACTGTTTAGTTTTACTGTTTTAGTTTTACTGTTAATCCACATACATGGTGTAGGGCATAAAAAGACTGCAAGAAAAAGGTTATATGTTGGGTTATGTAATACAGGGATGTGCCATGCCAAAAATATTTTGCTGAAAATATTTTAAGGAGTATTGCTTTGTATATCTCTTAATCAGTACATCTGGTTTTACTTCAAATTATTTTCATGGGTTTTTTTGCTCTGAGCGCCCTGCCCACAAAAGCACCAATGGTTATGGTTAGCTTTGGTAATTGCTTGGGTTTCTGTAAGCAAAACAGCTTCCACTAGGCAAAATTAGGGGGTTATGTAAAAGGTTGACTTTCTGGGCAAAGAAAACCAGCAGTGTTTCTGACAACAGAAAAAAATACCCTTAGATACCATCTCGTGTTTCTCTGCTTCCTAAAATCCAAGGAAAAGCAAGGAATATAAATGAGGAAGATTTAATTAGAAGTGTCACTTACAGAACGTGTAGAAATTTAGTTCCGACAGAAAAGTAACCTGTCTCACTTAGAGAGACAAATGCAGATGTGAGAGAAAAATACAGGTGACTGAAAGAAATGCAGATGTGTCTGCCCCTCCAGGACAGGAGCACAGTGATACAGAAAATTGAATGAAGTAGGGATAGGACTTCTGAAGTCTCATTATAGAGCTGGTTGTTCGCTTGTCTTTCTCAAAAGAAAGAACCAAATTCAAGCAGGTGTCCTCTGCTGCCTACTGCATGTCAGTACTCTCAAAAATAGTTAATTGTGGTAATCTGAGGGGGGGAAATCAAACCCAGCCAAGTGGGTGGGTGTCTTGTGAGCCTGATGGGATGTACACAGCTATCAAGAAAGGAATGGAACTGAGGATGTAAAACTGAATATGGATGAATATGGCCATTACACGGGCCTGAATCACTAAGAGCACTGAGGGGTACTGCCCCCATGTTCATGGCTAGAACAAAAATTTCAATTTTTCTCATGAAAAATTTCCAGTGGAATGCCAGACAGAAAATTACGCTGTTCATTTTGGAAATGCCAGCTGGGAGCTGGTGTGAGTAGTTCCTGTCCTCTCCCTCCCTGCTGGCAAGATTCCAAACCCAAGCAGCACTGAAAACAGAGTCCTCCCCTCCCTTTGCAAGCTAGGGATGGGAGGTCTCCCCTGCCCTGATCCCTGGCAGATACTTCAGTGGTTTACTCCTGCTGGTAAAAAAAAAAAAAAAAAAATTAAAATACACCTACATTTTCTTCATAAAGCAGAACCCTCTCATAGAAAATCACCTGAAACAGTAAACCCCAATACTCAGTTGAAAAATTGTTTTCATGGTTATTATCAAGAGACAATAGGTAGAAATGTAGTTTGAATATGATGAAAACAAGATGCCTTTTTTGCCTGTGTGGCTCTTTTAGGGCCTTTTTTACAGTACTCCCTACAGAGAAGCTGGGCAGGGAGAAAGGAAGAGTTATTTGTAAATATTTTATTTTCTCAGACCTGGGCACTGTAAACAAAATTAATCTTCTCATTTCCCATTCTTTTCTGCTTTCATGATTTTCTGTAGCTTCTGGATGAATTCTTACAGACAGATGTTGAATGTTTTAATTTCAAGTTATCCGCATTCCAGATGGATTTGATGTCACCATAGTCTGTTTTCTTGTGATGTATGCCAGACATGCAGCAGTCATGAACCTTAGATTTCTCATGCTTTATCGTAAAAGTTGCATCCCAATTGTTCCTCCTCTCAGTGGGAGATGTGGTCTTGGTAGGGAAGTGTTGCAAACCTGTCTGAGGAAGGCCAGTGGTGCAATCAAAGTGAACAAGACATCTACGTGCATGGGAGGTCAGAGGGGATGGGATGACCTCTTTGCAAGGTCTTTGCTGGAACTGCTGTGGTAACCACAGAAATCATGATGTTTTCAAATGGTTTTCAGCCACATTAAGAACTGCTGTTTCCTGAAGCTGAAGAGCTGAGTCTTGTTTTCCAAAGTTATTTTTATGGCAGTTCCTTTGCCACAAACTGCTGTCTGTTTAAGAGAGGCCCCTCTGTCATTCACAGCACGGCCAAAAAGAGCGGGGATGTGGAATGCAGGGATGTGGAATGCAGGAGAGACATGCCACATCTAGCACAGCTGGTGGGGAGGGCTGCTGCTTCTTCCTCCTGCTCCCCAGCTTCCTTTCCTCACCCACTAATTGCTGCTGTAGAAACCTGTCTGCAGAGGCTGGAGCAAAGCTGTACCTGCAGCTGCCACAGAGAAGATTTTGTACCCTTACTAACCAACACAAAAACAGAATCATTAAGGCTGGAAAACTTTTAAGATCATTGAGTCCAACCTTTGACTGTCAACTAGACCAGAGCGCTTAGTGCCATGTCCGGTTATTTCTTGAACACTTCCAGGGACGGTGACTCCACCACCACCCTGGTGGGCAGCCCATTCCAATGCCTGACCACCCCTTCAGTGAAGAAATTCTTCCTGATGTCCAACCTGAACCTGGAACAGCTTGAGGCTTTTATGTTGTCATTTGTTGCCTAAGAAATGAGATGAACCCCCACCATGCTACAAGTTCCTTTTAAGTAGTTGCAGAGAGCAATAACGTCTTCCTTGAGCCTCCTTTTCTCCAGGCTAAACTATCTCCAGCTCACTCTCACCGGATTTCCTGTGCAGACCCTTCACCAGCTCCATTGCCCCTCTCTGGACATGCTCCAGTACTTCAGTGTCTTTCTTGTACTGAGTGGCCCAGCACTGGGCACAGCCATCCAGGTGCTGAGCCCAGTAGAGAGGGACAATCCCTGCCCTAGCCCTGCTGGCCACACTATTTTTGATACAGGCCAGGATGCCCTAAGCCTTCTTGGCCACCTGGCCACATGCTGGTTCATTGTCAGCTCCTACCCAGCATCCCCAGGTCCTTTTCCACTGGGCCCCTTTCCAGGCCCCTATCTAAGCCTGTAGTGCTGCATGAGGTTGTTGCCCTCATTTGACCAAAGTGCAGGACCTGGCACTTAGCCTTGCTGAGCCTGAGGTTTGGGGTTATGTTCTGGGCCCTGCTGTGAAAGAGGCCAGAGAGTTTCTATTCCACATCAACTTCTGCTGTTCCCTTTCTCTGAGCAGCTTCTTCCAGGAACCCTGTGGCCCTGGCTCCGTAAGCCAGGATGGTAGGGTGGGTCAGTGACGCTAA